GTATTACAATATGGATGTACATAAATCGAAAGAGTTGTGAGAAAGCTTTGTTTCGAAATATTTCGAAAATATTTTCAATGATGTTAAGTCAAACAAAAGTTATTGCGAAAAATTTTTTTAAGAGGTGGTGTATTACAATATGTATTTCTAATGAACAAGGCTGAAAAAAAATTTATTTCGAAAAGATTTGGGCGAGTAATGCTACATGCTACAATTTTCATATGTATATACATACATATACTGCCGGCAAAAAGGAGTGGCACAGATGCTGTTTTACAATATATGCATCAATTTTCATTGTAATATTTTTCCGAAAATTTTTTATAAAAATATGGTTCTTTCCACAACAAAAAATTAAATATAATTTCTAAACATTGTGCAAAACTCGCGAAAATTCAACAAATTTTCATGCAAATTTTCAACTTTTTAATCAGATGTTGTGGAATGAACCATATTTTTATAAAAAAATTTTGGGAAAAATATTACAATAAAAATTTTTGCATATACATATGTATGTACATATTTAGGGTAACTATGTAAACCGGTTTTCCGTACAAAATTAAACAATTTTACGAGGTTTACGTGGTTATGAGGCTTTTACGCGTTTAGATGAATTGCCCTATTGTAAAAAAAGCCGCTGTGCCAATACTTTTTGCCGGCAGTGCATGTACACCAAATGAAATTTACGCAATGCCAATGACGCGCCTTCTCTAAATACACAAATTTAATTAGCCAAGTGTACGAATTCGCTCCAGCATTATCTTATCTGAGTCCATAAACGCTTATCTGTGTGCCTGTATGTACGTATGTATGTAATTATATACTCTTGAGTACCCCCTAATTACTGACACATACCAGGGATGTTGCGAATATTTGCATTCGCATTCGTTATGCGAATTATTCGCATCATTTACACATTCGCATTCGACATTCGCATCAAATGATACGAATGCCTTGCGAATGCGAATGTGTACATGGGCAGAGGGTCCACTCAAAAAGCTTTAACAGACGGCTGCGTTGATCCGGACTAACTCGGACGTAATCCGGATCAACTACAGTTAATTCCCGAGTTGATCCGACATTTCAGTTTTAAAACTATTTAAATCCTCTTTCATTTTATACCAAACTTGTTTAATTTGGATAAGCGGTTTGTTTATTATCCGGAAAGTACTTTTATTTCGGAATAATATTCGCAACAACCCTGATATGTACACGCATACATATGCTCGCACCTGTGCGGAAAGTGTGATAAAGATCGCTTTTAAGCCTTCTGACCGGCCCTAAATTTTGCAAAATCTCTTCGTAATGGTAAAAAGATGTTACGCTAATTTCTAAATAACATGCACTTTCTGCTCACATACCAATTTCAATACATCCCAGCACAAACTCGGTAATCGCTTTTAGTGGTAACGTGTTCTAGAAGGCATAGCGTTATAATGCCTTCGAATTTTTTCGCTTCTTTTAGGCATTGCCGGTAATGCAAAGTAGAAAGTCCTACAATATTTTATTTGTTTAGCTTCTTTGCTTCATTTCTGGGAATGCAAAGTAGAGTGTCCTACAATATTTTTTTTTTGTTTCGCTTCTTTGCTTAATTCCGGAGAATGCGAAGTAGAATGCTGCATCGTAGTCATGATGCAATAATACAAGGTGGTATCAATTGAGACAGCTCGATTTGACATTGCCTTAGCTCAGTAGAATGAGAAGAAAAAGGGGAAGAAATTAAGCCCCATTTGGGGGCAAAATATAAAATTTCAAATTTGTTCCTCAACAAAATTTGCTTTTTTATAGTATATTCGTAATGAATTGAAATAAAATAAGATAAACTACCTTTTTAAGAAAAAAATGTGTATACTGAGAAAAAAAAAAAAAAAAATATTCAACTATATTATTAATTGTTAAAGAAGTAGCACTGTCTCACCTAAGGCAGTCAATATGGCGGAATTAGAGCGAGAAGTTGCCAACTGATAACACCTGTATTATTGCATCATGCATCGTAGTCAGCTGAAAAATGGAATGAATATCCAAAAATTCTTTTTCTGCCGTTACTTTCTGTGGAAATTTGTCTCGCATAAAAATCATGTTTTGCTTTGTTCAATTTGCAGCGAAGTTGAAGTCAGTCAATGATCAATCGTGTTTTTTGCTGGGATACTACGCATGTACAGTGTGGGCCAAATAAGACCTACCATCCATAGTTCATAGGTCCATACTTTGCCTAGCAGTGTGCGCAGTCGCTGCATCTTATTGGAACCACAAATAAGGATGCTGCTCTGCCGTTAGCCGCAAAAATTTGTGAATCATTGTTCTGTAAGAAGCCCCAGAAATCGTTTCCGACGTTTCATCCTCATTCTCGAAGAAATATGGGCCGATAACTTTCTGGGCCATAATACCGCACCAAACAGTGTATCTGGATTTGTGTAGCTGGTGCTGGTATGTTGCCCTTAGATTTTCAGAGCTCCACAATCTACAGTTTTGCTTGGAAATGCACTTTATCCGACATCAAAACATTACCTAAAAATCAATTTGTGTGGCTAATTGTGTAAAACGAATAGCGTATTGTAGTCGTTGTTGGTGGTCTAGCTGTAAGTATCCAAGAGATTAACTATAACATGCAGAAAGACAATAACAGTGATATTAAAAAATTAAGAAGCTATACGTGTTTAACATTGATAGGTCTTATTTGGCCCACCCTGTACATAAGAACATACAAGTAAACAAATGTAGTTAATTCTAATGAAAAACTGAATTGTCCGAATTCACTGCGTGACACCAACTTGCCAATTTGCTGCCGAAGCGGATACGTTCGTGTATGTAAATAATATGTACGTACGTACGAGTAAGAAAAACTAAAAAACCCCAAGGTGTGTCCAGACAGTAGATGTGCGCGCAAGGAATCCTTAATTGCACGCAACTGACGCCAAATTGCTGGCTTGTGGCAGGGCAAAAGAAACGCGTCAAAACTTTTTAATATACTAAGTATGTATGTTAAGTCATCGAAGTTTATTCTTTACGCCTATAAACATAGGTACGAAAAATGTTATACATTCTTACATAATATTTGAATATCTATTGTTAATTAACAAATAGAATACAATTTTTATTTTGTACTTAAACTTTGTTATTTTTCTTTGAATAAACATCAGCTACTTCCATCAATAGGCGCAGTGATTTCTTCTTGAAAAATTAGCGAATAAGCATTTATTTTTGCAACAACTTGCAAGCTGATGCCACACCCGCTGGCGACTAATAGTAAATATTAGGCATTTTGTTTACTAATATTCAAAACAAATACCGGATATTATCTGCTTATCCGTTCAAAACACTTGAGGTTAGGCATGAATTTATAGATATATGTATTGTGTTTATTGAGCCATACAGTAGTGCCAAGAGATTTATATAACTCACAGTTGCGAATGTAAAAACGTATCTATGTATGTATATCGGATATTCTAAAGTGCATGGTTAGTAAATTTGCATAAAAAGATTCAAAATGTTAAATATTTACAATCAAAGCTACTTTGTGTAAGTGTGCAACCCCTAAGCACTGTGAAATTGCAAGGTAAATTAATTAAAAAGTTTGCACAAATCTACATCAAATTATTTGACTTTTACATCATGTAACAAAGTTTACTTTTCTCAGAGGGGACGAGAATGCATAGATGACGGTAATACATTTTTTTATTTTATTTATTTTTTCAGAAAAAATCATCTTTTGTATAAATCTGCTTGAGTGCATACCAATAGTTTACGAGTGCTGAATTCCAAAGTGCGCTAAAAACTAAGCAATTGCTTTTTTCAATCAACTGGGAGGTTTTTGAACAGGATAAAGAATTTTCACAAAGCTGTCATGCAGAAAAAGGCCTCCAAAGTCATATACACTTAAGTCTCTTTTTATGCGGTTTTTTAATGCGCCATTTTTTCGCTGTGCCGCTTTTGTTTTTTGAAAGTATTTATCACATTTTTTTCAGGTTGTAAGAGACAATGCTTCTGATAAATAATTTGTCTTTGTATTCTTACATAATTCTTGTATATTTTATGGTATTTATTTTTTTGGTTAAAATACAGATAAAATTTTATTTATTTCATTAATGTTCAGTTTTACATGGAATAATAAGTGTTGAAGGGAAGAAATAAACTTTTTTTCGCTTAATATTACCACACTGGATTTTTTTATGCAGTCTTTTAGAATTTTTTACGTGAAGTATCTGAATTTATGCGGTTTTTGTAAATGCTGTTTTGTTTTTGTATGAAAGTAAAGAACTTTTTTATGCAATTTTTTTTTTTATGCGGCTTTCTGAGGAATGAGGCATGAAAGAGACCTAAGTGTATTGGCATACAATAAATTGTTGAAAAATTTGCATCATATGTATGTACATATGTATTTGTTTACCTGTTGAACAATCGAGAATCGCCAAAGCAACTGAACAAAGAATAAATTTAATCAAAAGACGAAACTCTTTGAGTATTCATGAATGCGTTATCCATACGACCTTGTTATATGTAAATATGTATTTATGTATGTACATATCATTACCTTAATATAGAAGGGCCCTAAATACAAAAAGCCGTAACTAAGTTAAAATCAAAATTCCCTTTTTAATTGATTATAATGCAATTAATCGAATTATAAGTCCACACATAATTTTAAGCAATGAGCAAAATTAGTTATTTAGGGCCTTTCTATATTAAGGAAACGATATGTAAAAATGACCAGAAACACTGAATGGTTCAATTATTTCATTATCAATTAAATCAATTAATCAAAGTTTATGTCAATCATCCGACGCACATATGTATGTATATAAACAAACTAGCCAATTCCCTTGTCGATTCGCCACTTTTACAATTCGTCTTAATATAGTTATACCTTCTGTTTCTCCCACCTACTCTTCACTATTTTCTTAGTTTATAATTCATCATTCTCACATACTCTCACAGTCCAACTTGAGCTCTCTTCCATCAACCGTTATCTTTAGTTTAGTTTTAAGCGTAATAAATCGTTTAGAAAAATGTAGAGTTTAGTTGAAAAATAAAGGTGATGCCGGTCGGAAGCAGATCCACTCTTTTATCATTTTTATTAACTGGTTTCTTTGAGGCTTACTGCTGCAATAACGGCCGCCCCGAGCAATTTCTTCAATCGAAGGTAAATGCCAAATCGCATTAAGGGTGTATGAGGGCGTCGGACAAAGATGCGCTTACACAATT